TGTGACTCACGGCACTCAAGGACAAACAGATAAGGGTCTCAGCTGACAGGTACGTATAGTGCGTGGACCTGCAAGAAGACCACACTTTTCTCGGGCCATTATCTCCGTAACTGTTCAACTTTGGACATAGGTGTTTTGGGTTATATCGGCATACTTTAACATAAGGAACACCCTCCTGAAGTTTGGTCCATTCCTCCTGGGACACCCTGTATAGCATGTTATTGAAAAGTCTTCCTTTTGCACTATGTACTACTCCTCTTTCAGTACAGACTTTGCACAGCATATCATGCATATCTTACATATTTTTTGCTACAACAGCAGCTTAGTCATTTGAATGGTTGTAAGCTTCACCTCTGGCAAGTTCAAGCCTATTTTATTTTCTGTCTGGGTTCACTTTGTCCTATACTGCGAACATGTTCATTATCATGATTTTGTATGACTTCTGCTTGTTGCCTGCACAATTTTGTTATATAATCTTATACTTATGAAAGGCTGAAAGCTGTGTGCAAATTGCAGACTGGTGTTTCCAACTGTTGTGCAAACATGCTTGCATGTGAAGGCCGCTGTGTATTTACTAATCCCGCGGTCATTGCCTAGCAATGGGTACATATCACAATATGTACTAGCTCTGGACATACCAGTGCAATGGCCAAAGAGTCAGCAACTGGGATGTGATGGTATGACTAAAACTCCTCCATCTCAAGGTGGGCAGGGGCCAGTGGAAGGCTCTTGTCAAAGAGTAATAAACTTTTTGAGTTCCACAGAAAGCAAGAACTTTTGGGATAGCAAGTATCGGCTGCAAAAGGGCTCTACACCATGGAGGCAATCTTATTTATACAATTGTTCCATTTAGTGGATGTGAACCACAACTTTAAAAGAAGGCCAAACCAATCATTTGTTTAAGCTCTACACCATGGAGGCAATCTTATTTATACAATTGTTCCATTTAGTGGATGTGAACCACAACTTTAAAAGAAGGCCAAACCAATCATTTGTTTAAGCTCTACACCATGGAGGCAATCTTATTTATACAATTGTTCCATTTAGTGGATGTGAACCACAACTTTAAAAGAAGGCCAAACCAATCATTTGTTTAAAACAAATTATGTAGATACTATGAAAAGAATTTTATGGTGAGATTATTTTATATAACACACTCGTTTAGAGAGATAGAGCTTAAGGGAAATGGATTAGCAGAGTATGTTAGTGCCAGAATACACTTCAAATTTTTTCCTATTTTGAACTTATGTCTGTGAATGTCAACAGAGCACTCCAAATCTTTCACAAAACTTGTCAAATCATATCATATCATATCAAATCAAATAACACAAGGAACATCAGTTACTCTAAAAATCATCTACTTTGAATGTGGGTTAAAAATATTCTTCAGTCTTCAACGAGCCCCACTCAAGTTTTGAGCAGTGAACTGCAGAAGTGTACAATTCCATTAAGCAGCATTAAGAAATGTGTTTCAAAGAATTGTAGCAGATTTCAGTCAACTAGTCCCGCTCAAGCCTTGTAGTGAACAATATACACCGTTGAACATGATGTCCTAATAAATTTCACTAAGTTCAGTCAATTAGTCCCACTCAGTAAGTGATGAACAGTGAAACTAGATAACATGGGTAACTGCAACAGCAGTGCTGAATAACAATGAGTACCAATTTCTGTAACCATAAGCATTAAGTTTTAAACACCCAAAACATAATGGCCACTATCAAAGATTAACTCCTAACAGATGCCAAAAATATAAATCATAATGAACAGTACATACACTAGTGACAACAGTATTATAAAACATTTATAAACACAATTTTTTGAGTAGATTTTAGGGTTCTGGAGATGGTGGATGACACATGGAATTACTGGGTTTTTGGACTTTTCCATCGTCCAGAATTCTAGATAACAGAGGACATAACGTTTCGAAACTGGATCTGTTTCCATCTTCAGGTGAGAAAGAAGACACATACTCAGTTGGGCCCCCTAGAAAGAGCTAATCTCAATCACTGGACCCAGGAAATACTAAACTCTTGTATAACTCACAGCAAAAATCTGAGAAGTATCAAATGAAACTTACATCCTCTGTCCCCATAGCATCTGGATTCAGACTGACAACACTCTCTATCTTCAGAAATGGACCACTATCTTCTTCATTATCATTCACTTCCTCTACAGGCACTTCTCTAATCAACTGGTTAATTTCTGCAACAAAATACTTCATCTTGGTCACTCATGGACCATAAATATATACCCACATAATTATACTGTTCATATTTAATTACAAAGTTCCTTCTTATGAGAATGCCATATGACTGACATATTTCTGAGTTGGGCTAATCCTGCTATATGCACCAGTTCTTACAAACAGTAAAAGTAAAGGTATCCCTGTAACAGGCAGTGGACGCCCATAAGGCTGTGAGATGTTGAAGTTCCCACATTCTCTAGACAATTGGCTCATAGATGGCAAAGTTGTCAGACCTACATGGCGGCCGCCCAAGAATATTCCTGGTTACAATATTATATTTAAGCATCCTGTTACACTCTACACGATAAATGATACAAACTCCGTCCTAAGTGCAAACAATATATATTATATGTCTTTGATCTTGTTCTTTCTACACTACATGTTTCGGCCTCTATCGGCCATCATCAGGTGTATACTCTTAACGTTGCTGCTACACTGAACCCAGTCTAAAACTTAACATTTAAAAACACAATGTCACATTCTTCGTATTATCAACATCTAATCGTTGATATGTGTCTGGTATGTAGATTATGTTGCACACGTCAAACCCGATATTCTTGTAGTAGCACTCTAAAAATCTTTAGTTATGATGTTTTTAAAACCTTTTAAAATTTTCTCTAAATTTAAAATTTAAAATTCTTAGGGTTACTCGCCCTATGTCTAAGTGCTGGAGCGGCTAGTTCTTGTTTTCACACTGTACAGGCGTATTAAATTTTAAATTTAAAATTTAGAGAAAATTTTAAAAGGTTTTAAAAACATCATAACTAACATAACTAAAGATTTTTAGAGTGCTACTACATGAATATCGGGTTTGACGTGTGCAACATAATCTACATACCAGACACATATCAACGATTAGATGTTGATAATACGAAGAATGTGACATTGTGTTTTTAAATGTTAAGTTTTAGACTGGGTTCAGTGTAGCAGCAACGTTAAGAGTATACACCTGATGATGGCCGATAGAGGCCGAAACATGTAGTGTAGAAAGAACAAGATCAAAGACATATAATATATATTGTTTGCACTTACGACGGAGTTTGTATCATTTATAATATTCCTGGTATTCATTTCTGTTAGAGGCTGAGTGGGTCCCAGGGGCACAGTGCGGCTAGAAGGATTAGGTCAACTGAAAAAATCCAATGATTTCATCGGGACTTGAACCTGCGACCTTCCAGCTTGTAGCATAGTGCCTCAACCAACTACGCTACCACGTGTCCCTCTCTTACAAGCAGCAATAAAATAAATTCAGTTTAATACATTCCAATTATATTTAGAGTACAACTCAACACTATGAAGGATTCAGAATTAAATTCTCAAACCCTGGACTAAACGATTTTACAAATACAAAGTAATCATCTACCTTAACTTTAATAATGGTATTAATAAACATCAAAGACATTAGAAAAGTTCTTATGTGAATTCGATTTGCAAGATCTAATGTGAATACTGTTTCCAAGACTAACCCATATCATCTTCATGAAAGGCCTGTTCCTGGACATCTGCTGTAACAGGATCTTCCATTGGTTTTGGGATGGAAAGAAGGTCTCCACTTAATCTGCGGAGGCGGATGAACTTCCTAGGTTCAGGGGCCTCAGTCCCTCCTTCAGTACTGTTAGAGTTCTCCCCTCCTATCAGAGAAGTATTCTTTTTTGACACTTCTCGTTCAACAGACACATTTTCTACTGGCATTCCTTCAACTCCCACAGATGTTTTTTCTGGTGACATGTCCTCTACTTCAACAGAAATCTGTTCTGTTAAAATTTCAATATCACTCTCAGATACATTTTCTGCTGACACCTCCCCTTCTCCAAAAGAAGTTTCTTGTGATGATAATTCTGAAATATCCTGTTCATTACTATTCATTGCACTAGGAGTTGACAGGTCATGTGGTGAAGCAACAAGGTGAAATTTTATGAGATGATGCAAAGCATGCGACAATTTGACATGCTGATCTCTTTTTGCATGGTTATTACATGCTTGACATGACCCATCCCAACGACTAACTTTATGAGTATTCTCAATGTGACTTGCAAAGGACATGCGATCTGTTGATGCGAAGATGCATCCGCGGATGCAACATGAATAGAGCAGCCTGTCACTGAAGCGCCGTGCCTCCAAAGGACCAACACGTATTGATGAGAATGATCCTTCATCCCCCACTGCACTATCCCCTCTAAGCACATGCTTTTCCTTGGCCCCAAGGGAAATCAGTGGTGGTGGTTTACCAATTACACTTGAAGATTTCTTGTTGGCAATGGTTTCCAAACCGTCTGTTTCTCTGGACTTCATCTCACCATCTGTACTTGAAGGACCAACGTGAAGTTCTTTAGCAATCGTGCTGCTGCTAGCTTCTGGGATATCCATCTCAATCATACGATCACCCATATCTGAGGGTTCTGTTTTAGGAACAACTTTCGAAGCAAGGCGCTCAATAATGTCAAACATCCTACTTGCTGATTTCCTTGGACTAACATCCTTCAAAACAGAAAGTGTCTCATTCAAAAGAGTATCTGGGCTCTGAGTTTCTGATTCCACTATGTCATCATTATCTTCACCCTCAAATACAAAGCTAATATCAGAAGAAGACTCATCAACAGTTTCAATATCTACATCATCTTCATTCTTACTGAAAGAACGAGTTATTCTCCGTGCAATTGTATCACCTGTGCCAGGTTTATTGTGCCTTCCACTTCTGCTTCCATTTGGAGATTCTATCATTTTTTGACCAATGCCAGTAGACTGTTTGTCATCAGTTGTCTCTTTTTCAGCTCTCAACAAGTTCTGAACTGCCTGTGCAGCTTCAATAGCTCGTTTCTCATCTATCAGTGTTGATACATCTGTCAGCTTCTCGGCCTCAGATTTACCCTCTTTGCTCTCAGATTCTTTACTGTTTATCAGGGAATCCACCCTCTCATTTCTTTCTCCCAATGTGGTATCAACTGTTTTGCTCTTCAAACCTGTTTTTAGTTTATCAGATAATTGATCTAATATTGACCTACGATTTGACTGAAGGAATTCCGGGTGAGTGTCCTTAAGATTTTGGGCTATTTCTTGCATTTTCTTCAACCTTTCCTTCTGAATAACAGAATTCTCTTCTTCCAAATCATCAGAGCATACAAATGCTTTAAGGTCAACCTCCTTTGCAACTTCTTCAGTTTCTGATATGGTAGTGGTTGAATTTCCAATATCATTTTTTCTAGTTTCATCAGTTTTTTGTTTCAATTGCATATCCTCTACTGCTTCAATTGACGATTGAGCATTATCATCCCTTGCATCCATGTCAGAATCAAATGCAGACAGTTGTTGAGAATTATGAGGTTCTTCACATACTGCAGTTACTTCAGGTTTTCCAGATAGCATACAAGAATCATTAACAGGGTTCTCAGCACGTGTTTCACAAAGAGATTCTGATGGCTCAATTTCAGATTTTTGTTCATTCTCCATATTGACTCCATAAACTGCTTCACAAGGTTTGGAAGTCATATCACTATTTGCCCCTGGTTTCTGATCTGTTACATTAATTCCTGTCACAGTGGAGCCTAACAGTTCTTCTTCTGGAGTCATTTCAGTTATTACTGGTGACACAACATTACACACTTCCTCACCATTCCTACTTTCAGCATCAAATGACATGTTATCAGGTTCATTATCACTTGATTCCTTTGCACCTTCATCTGTACACACATGTTTTGACTCACTTTCTACAGTATCATTTGGAGTTATCTTTGACATGTTAATACATATTGACTTGGCATTGCTTTCTGAAGGATGCCTCAAAGAAATGTGCTTTTCAGTGTTTTGCTTTAACAACTGAACAAAATTACATGATGAACACAAATAGCCAAACACAAACTTAGCTTCGTTAGGTGGCCCTGGGGTTAAAACAGTAGCCTGAACACTTTCAACTCCTTTGAGTTCTGGATGATGATAATAAAAATGCCCCTTAACAGAATGTCTTGTTGATGCTTCATAGGAGCATTTTCCACACCGAAATCTATATTCACCAGTATGAGAACTAAGATGCTCATAGAAATTAAGAGCAAATGCTGCAGTATGATCACATATTCGACATATGAATTTACCTGCTTGTTTCTTTTTCTTCTTTCCACATTCTGTACTACCTATGTCTTCTTTATAATCACTTTCTAAGGCTTCAGAAATTGCTCGAGAAGCCTCATCCACAGGGAGTCGTGAAATGAGGACTTCTGACTCAGGATGGTAATTTTTATAATGAGGTACTATATTTTTACACTGCACCAAACAAAGTTTACAGGCATACTTAGCACTTCCATCCAATACATAACTTTGATCGAGAACTGTGGGCGACTTATCCTTACTGTCCAAATCGTTTTCTAAATCCAAACAAGCCAGTCTCTCATCTGATTTGCCTGCACAAATGTTGCTCATTTCTAAAATATCATTCATTTGAAGCATTCTGTTATCCTCTGTCTCACTGATTTGTTTCAGTTCAATATTCTGATCTAATTTATCATTACTTGCTGTTACAATTTGTTTAGTGCTTACTACTTTGTCTTCCTCTTCCTTTCCTTCATTTATGGACACATCACTTCCAACCTTATCTGTGCTGCTACTTTCATCAGTAACTTCTGTACAGTTAACTGCTTTATTAAGAGTATTTACTTCTTTCTCACAAGCAACACTAGCAGTAACATCGCTTGCTCCAACTTCTGACTTAAGCTTAATACCACTTTTCTTCTTTGTATAATTAATAATACCTAATTGCCACTTTTTCTTTTTCTTCATTCTTTTCTGTATTCCAAATTTTCTCACCAGGTTCAACATAACTCGCGAGTTTCTTTTCTTACCAACACTGGGAGCTCTAGTACTTTCTGTCTCAACATCAGACTTAGCAACAGGTACACCAATGTCAGTTGTGGCTGCCTTTGAAATACTAGCATCATCTATTTTAACAACGTTTTCTTTCTCCTTCACTTCAACATTTACTGCTTCTGCAATTGTTTCTTGCATAGAAGTCTCTCCTCTACCTGATTCAGAAAGTTTCTCTTCTGAGTTTGTGTTGTTCTCTGTTACATCTACTCTTCTGAAACCTTCGTCTTTAGTGAGCCTATTAATGATGTCATCAATTTTCTTTCCAAGGAATTTCGACCTTTTATTATTGCATTTCCTTCGAAATGTGAAACCAATGGGAGAAAATGTATTTTCCGAGTTTGTCTGATGAGATACAGTGCTTGCTATAGATGAGTGATCTGATACAATACTCTCAACATCAGTGGAGAATTCATCATTCCTATCTACCTTTGTCTGTTTCTTTCTTCCTCTTTTAGTAGGACGACCACGACCCCTTCTTTGATAAGCATGTCTGACTTTTGCTCTTGACTTTCGCGCTGCTTTAAATTTGGATCTAACATTGTTCACAGGAGTTGTAGTAGTATCTTCCACTAATGATTCATCAGAAGAACTATCCTCAAAATACCTTGTTCGTGGTTTTGAAGATGTGAGATTCAGCTTTGAGATATCAGCTTTTTCAAGTATTACTCTTGGAAGACGTGCTCGTCTTCCACGTTCTGAATTTGATTCATCAGTGGGATATAATTTTGATCGTGGTCTGCCACGATGTGAATAACACTGCTCTCGTGGTTTATCATACGAATCTACATCTTCTTTCTCTCCTAAACTTTTCTTCTTCTTATCTGCATTACTGACAGTCGCTTCTTCAGCTGAGTCTTCACTTTCTTCTATCACATAACCTTTCCACCTGGACTTTTCATATCTCTTACAAGGTTTTGTAACAGGGGACCCAGACCTGTCCCCAGTGTCATCAATAAGACTGCCATCTTTGTTCTTTGCCCTGCTGTTTGTCCTACTTTCATCCAATTCATTGGATGCATCACCACATCCTGTCCCAACCCCATATTCTCTTTCTTCATCTTTCATTTTTATTTTCCCTTTTTGTTTCTTATCCACTTTTTGTTCTCTTCCTTTCCTGTCAAATTCTTCTTCTCTTGCCACCTTCTTTGATCGCCTCTTACAAATAACTGATGATCCATCTGATTCTTCTGGTGTGGTATATACTTCATCTTCTGTTATTTTAACAGTGGATTTAGAGATTTCTTCAACTGTCATTCCAGGGGGGCTTTCCTTAAGCAAACGGCACATCCGATGACCTGTTGCTGTTACAACTCCTTCACAAATAAACATCTCTCGGATGTCTTCTTGCAGAAGCTCAAGAGCAGAACGTCTCTTTGAATACCTTCTTGTTGGCTTCACCTCATCACTTGAAGTACTTTGTTTTTCCTCTCTTGATTTACCATCATCTATTTTATTGCTGTCATCCTCTTCCTCCTCCTCAACCTCACCCTTACTCTTTCTAATACTTAATGGTTTGTCAACCTCAGCAGCTCCAGTCTTCGACTTAGAAGCGAGAGTTTCACTATCTGTACTCTGATCATCATCAGACAAAATTAATCTTCGATATTTTGGCTTCTTATTTCGTTCCACAGACATTTCTACCTTCTTCACAACCGCTCCTTCCTCTCCAGTTTTTTGGTCCTCCTGATTCAAGTCCACATTTTTCTCATTCTTCTTGGAAGACTCAAAATCATTTTCATCAGATCCTGAATCTGAGTCTGATTCCAGAATTCTCTTTATCTTTCTCAATTTTTTCCCCTTTAAGCTTTCGCCAAGTTTCTCCAACAATCTGGCCTGCTCAATAAATTTTTTACCTTCTCCACACTCGAAAGATTTTCTTATCAGTGCCTCAATCCATTCTTGTGTAACTTCCTCCTTGGATCTAGACTCTGAATTTGTTTTCTCAGCTTCCATATCACAACTCTTTTCTGCAGGTGCATTCTCATGGTTTGTAGAAACAATACAATTGTCATTACCTTTGTCACCACCAACTGCATCAGTACTGGGTACATCATCTGAAGAATCACTTCTCAGGCTTGACTGTATTGTTTCAGTTCGCGTCACTGGCATCTTATCAGTGGAGTTTGTTACTTCGGCTTTTTCTTTGGTGTCGCCTATAAAACTTGAGGATTCCAATGTTGGTGGAGGCGATTTTGCCTTCTGGGGTGAGGGTGATTTTGCTTTTGGAGGTGAAGGAGGGCGTTTTATTTTTGGTATTCTGAACTTCTGGAAACCATAACCTTTCCCTGTCTTTGGGACAGCCGCAATGTCATACAAACTATTTAAAGGAGAAACAAGTTCTGTTTCCTTTGGCTTGTTAGGCTCAGGCGAACTTCTTCTTCTATTAAAACTATTAAGTTCAAATTTCCTGGCATCAGAATCTCTTCTCCTCTCATTAGAACCACACTTCTCTGTTCTTTGTTCAAGAACTGAACCATAATTTGAACTCCCTGAACTGGAAGAAATCTTCTTACTTTCCCTATTACTTCTAGAGTTACAATCTCCTTTTTCGGGTTCTTCTATGCTTTTTCTTCTAGGATCTCTTTCAGAAAGTGTGTTTCCACTTCTACTCTCCATGGTCTGGGCACGACAAACAGTTCCACTTATTCCTGAACCACGGACACTGGCAACTGACGTTGTACCCTGAGGTGACACTGGTGAACAGTGTCCACTAAACTGAGGATTAGACAGCCTAGGGTCACCAACTGGAACTTTACTAACACCATGAGAAATGTTCCCATGATGCTGAGCTGCTTGTCCAACAGATCTTGCAGATGAGGGATAATTTGCTGAAGATCCACTTCTGAAACAACCTTGTGTGGAAGATGGTGACTGCCAAGATGGATGTTGCTGCCGATTACCAGAAAAATGGTCATGCATTGGATTGATTTGCCCTGGAAATTGACTAAATTCATTTTGAGAGGAATGAGGCGAACAATGGAATCTGCTACTGTTAGGCCCATGCTGGGTGTAACTGTCCCCAGGACGCATAAAACTTTCATCAGCTACCCTTGGGGAATTGTGTGATAAAGCTCCGTAAGATGTCCCTACCCATCTTGTAGCTGTCTGTAAATGTGGTGTCTGGTTTGAGTGGAATTTTGTATGTGGATTTTGATGATAAGCACTGGAAACCGGTCTCATGTACTGATCATGTGGAGGGTGTGGTAAAATCCCACTTCGGTAATTATCATGATGTGAATAACTAGAAACATTCACTCGTGGATCATGAATATTAGAGAGAGGGACTTGGTTGTCTCTCGAATATCTAGGATCATGACTTACATTACGGGGAAGTACCCTTGGATCATGTGGCATATTAGGTGTTGGTAAAAGTGGTCTGCGATCTTCAGGTCTTGGAATGCCAAAAGAACTATATGATGTAGAATTCCTTCCAATCCCAATGTGTGATTCTACTTGTGATCCATAGTGTGAACTGTGAAGAGGTGACATAAAGCCAGATTGATTGTATTCCTTGGGTGAAGACATAGGAGAGAGGAAATCTGCAGGCTGCTGCCACACTGGTTTCACTGCAGTAGGACTATTCATATGAACAGTTTCAAGTATTTCTTTTGTGTTTGGAGGAGGAGAAGGAAGGTTGCGGAGATTATCCTCCACAATCTTTTGCAGTTCTTCTTTACTCAAACTTGACAAAATACCAGTGCCTTCCTTCTTAGTAGGGCCTTCCAACTTATCATTAAGTGGTAAGTCTCTATTAATGTAACTGAGATTACCATAATTTGATTCAACATCAGTACTAAGCCTGACACGTGGATCATTTTTGTCTCCTGCAGGAGGATGCACGTCCTCCCATGGAGAATTCTGACTACTTTCCTCTCCATGGGGACTGAAGCTTGCACGTCTCCTTGGGTCTGTTGGTCTCCTATCCTTAATAGATTTTGTTAATGCATCTTTAAAAATTCCAAAATCATTTCTATTGTCACCCTTTTCTGCAACATGACTTCCAGTGTTACATCTGTTCTGACTGATGTCACTTGCTTTTTCATCATTTGCTTTTAAGGCACTTCCCATTACAGAATCTGACTTGCTTGAAGCCTGTAGACGATTAATTAGTGACTTGTCTTTTTTTACCTCAGAGTTTGGTTTGATCATATCCAGTATATTTCTAACAGGAGACTTTAATTTATCATCTTTTTGTACCAAGCTCCTTAAGGCACCTCCTTTACTAACACCAACTCTATGTACTTGCTGTATCTCTTGCTCCAACTTTGCCCTTAGGCTCATATGCGGCGATTCCTCCTTTTTTTCTGGTTCTGATTCACTCCTGTTTGTGTCTTCCAGAAGCTCTTCAATGTCAGCATCAGACAAAGGCTTAGATCCTGCTGCTGGTGGATGTTTAAGAACATTGTATAAAGTTGGAAGTTTGGGAAGAGATTTCTTATTTGGTGAAGAGCAAGACTGCATACCACCATTTGTAGCAAATGCCTGCTGGCTGAGAGAACCTGATGGTGAAGGGAGACTGGTAGGTACCCTACTGAGACATGTTTGGTTGATTGAAGGTTTATTTGGAACTGTGCTCCCATGCTGTTCACCATCAGAAGGCCACAAGGATCGAACTGGTGGTTTATAATCCCTCCACCCTGTATGTGACCCATCAAGTTCAGACCTAGAACCGTCTCCATAACCCCAAAGCTCATCACCAGACTGTGGTTCTTCACTTGCTGATATGTCCTTTACAGGTTTTGCCCTCCTGCTGTTGCTCTCCTCAGGGTCCCTCATAACTCTATTGTGTGGGTATGCTGGCTTTGGAGTCCCCTTCTCATAATCCTGCTTCTCCCATGGTGGGTCTGTCTGATACTGCCATTCCATTGATGGGGAACTTAAACGACCATCTGGTTTCTTAGCAGATTCTGTAGACAATGATGTCTGTTGTTCCATTAGTTTTTTAAGTCTTTCTCGACTCTGTTCAAGAACATCCAATGCCTTGTTCTTTTTCTCTGAAGAAGGCATATTAGGCACACAACTACCTGTAGTTGTATGCACATCTTCAATGTCATCAGGGCCACTGTTACTGTCAGGACAAGAGGTAGCAGACGAAACACTTTTACCACTTGTACGAGCAGCAGCCATTTTCAGTGTTTTCATTATATCTGTTACAGAACTGTCATCTGTTGATGATGTAACAACTTGCTGCTCACTGAAAAAGAAAGAAGTAACAGTTACATGATGTTGACACTTAAGATTCTTACATAAATGAATAAAAAATTCCACATACTTTCCATCACCAGAACTGGCAGGATTTGCCTTCTCCTGAGCATTACCAGTGGTCCTTTTCTCTTCTGCTGGTTTCACACTTGCATGCTTAGCTTGTGCACTTGTACCCTGTGAAAACATTTTGATGTGTTATATAATGAAAGCAGATTACATAACTGTATTTTCATGCAGTACATGAGGTTTATTAAAAGCATTTCAGGATCAAGAAAAGTTCCAAAGGGACTCCTGTGCACAAAACCAACCTTTTCTACTTTTTCATGCAACTTCTGAAGGACATCCTCACATCGTTTCAGTGTTGCTATGTTCAACCTATAAAGAGAATAATGTTACAACAATGTTACATAACATCATAAAATATCGTACTTCATGAACAATATTCATGTTTAAGGAAATGGCATACTTTTTCTTTGTGTTTGAAAGGATACAACGTAAGCTCTTCATCTTAAGAAGCTGTGCCTCCCGTGACTTATCACTAGACCGTTCTAATCTTTGAATCATCATCTCTAAGAATGGAATGTACTTCTGCATCTCCTGGAATTTCTGTTCATAATTTTCTTGCTGAAGATCTTTTTGATTATGAACTCCTTCTAGAAAAGTGTACATTTAAACATTAGTAATCAAAAAATAAAACATACCTATGAATATGACTGTTATACTAGCACATTTAACTCATATCAGAACAGCAAAATGCACACATAACTATTCAGGAGCACACTGCGTGTTTAAAGCTACATCATGGCATAAATGTAACAATTTACTGATTATGTAACATTTATGGAAATTTTTAAAAATTATGGGAACTTAATACAGAAGTATTCTTACCCTTTTCTATTTCCTTCTTGTTTGTTGCCATCTTTATTTTTCACTTCTCTTTTATCAATCTGAAATGTTAACACTGAAATGATTAACGTTACAAAAGTGAGCCAAAAGAGTAATAATATACACTGACAAAAGTAATGATCTTTCTTTTTATCACATTCTAACTATATACTGCATGACTCATTCACCACTGCAACTCTCTCGCTCTCGAAGTCTCATAAGCACAAGAGCTATGATACTGTGCAGTTTCAGGTTACCACAGCAATGAATTGTCAAGTGTTAACATCTAGCATGCATGGAAGTTATGGAGTAGGTCACAAGCAAGCAGGCAACTGTTTCAGTGTATTGTTATTTATTCTGGGAGTAGTGATGATAATCTGACATGGATATGTGAACTGTAGTATACTCTGACTGTGTTATTCAAGGGAGATGGTGTTAAACATCAGCCTCAACACATCATGCATTACCTTGTAGGACTGGAAAGGAACATGCAAGAGAGAATGGAAAGTCGGTTATATAACAAATGTAGAGACTTCCTGCTAGATTCTCAGCAAATGTTGCACTAGTATAATATATAAAATGTTTAACAAAATCAAACATCCATGTTCATGACAAAAGTAAAACAAACTAAAAAACCCAAACCTATAATCAACAAAATATTATCTGACAGCAATTTATGAAATATATCACCATCTACAAAAATGGTTAACAAATTACAACTTTATTTTTCCTGTCAACATGAAAAATGTATCCATTACGAAAATTACCTATTAGTTTCATCTTGTACAGTCATCTATCCAATAACAGGGCCAAAATTACGATAGCATTGACAAAATTCAGAACAAATTTCTGTGAAATCTGTCACACTGTGCTGATCCAGGGTTAGGCTGTTTCATTATTTACAGGCATAAACGAACGTTCATCTATAATTTTCCAAGCACTCTGGAAGATTCTGATTAAACCCAACACTATATACAAAATGTTTGTTGTATGAGTAGTACTGTGAGTGGGTTTCACTAACATTCATTTTTTCCAAGTTCATTTACAGTGTGCAGTATTTTGTGAGAGGGATACATTCCGAAGCCTAGCATAATTCAAGACAAGTTTTCTCATGGGAATAAATGTAAAGTAAGGGGGGTACATTCTTGAAGCACATAAATTTACAACCAATGTAGGGTAACATGACATTTTATTAATATAATCTTCACCTTTACATAATTATTACGTTTATTATTTATGTTCTTGGATTTGTATTATTTCAAACTTTGCCCATAACATGAGACCGTACTGGATTTAACAAACTGTACAAAATTTGGGAGCCTCGTAGCTGCTGTAGTAGGTCTCCGTCCCTTATGCCACTATTGCATTCTGGGCCCCTAAAACATCTCTTCCCTTACGTCCACCCTTTCCGGGTTTCTTGTACCACAGTCCTGGGCGAATCTCTTGCGATCGTGTCCTCTGCGCTGTGCCACTTTTGTACTATGGGTCATTCTCCTGCCGACTGCGGCAAATTCCTTCCGCAGTTCGCAATTTCCTGAAAACGTTTCTCTTGCCCCGTGCCATTGCTGAACAACGGGACACCTTCCTGCAGGCAGCAGCCAACTTCCATCGCGATCCACCGTCTCCTCGGATCAGTTCTTTTTGCTCTCTGCGTCGCCCTGCCAGCCCCTGTGCCGATTCTTCATTGTTTTCAAAGATTTCTCTGCGGCCTCTTCCGTAGGGACCTCCCGATGTTCCACTTCAGACTGAATAATTTCTGGATTGGCCTCCAAATTCGTGACCTCCATTTCTTCCAAATCAGTTTTGTTTTCGGTTTCCCTTGGTTTCAGACCGGTCCCTGTCTTTTCCTGATGGGCTCTAACTTGTCTCGAATTCTTCCAGTCTGGTAGTGGCCAAGGACCAATACATGCACAATGCGAGGAGTAGCGATGGCTAGATTGGAGAACCCCCTCGGAGCAGAAATTGGTCTGGTAGAACAAAGCCCGCACGCCCATTCGCCTGAAGTAATCTACATAGCCAGAACCTTGGTTCAAGACCGCCGGGAGGTACTGGTGAGGGTCCTGAATGCTACCCATCGGGACCAGAAGCTCACGAAAGGATCCCCTCTGGCTTATTTGTGAGCCAGGCATGCTGGTGACCCCACCTGATCTGAAACAGCACCAGGCCAAGGCTGCATGCTGGAAATTACATGACGTGACCGAAGCGGCCAAGCCACATTTAAGCAACGAGGAATTTCAGGAGTTGGAAGAGCTCCTTGTCGAGTATGAAGACATCTTTGCTGTGGACAGCCTTAGACCACGGACGGACTAACAAAGTGTATCACCGTATAGCTACGGGAAACGCCCAACCGATTCGCCAACCCCCGAGGATGCTCCTAGCAAAGCAAGCAGAAGTAAGCGAGATGCTCGGCGACATGCAACGCCGCGGGGTTATGAGGAATCAGACAGAACCTGGTAATCCCCTGTCGTTCTGGTCAGAAGAAAAAATGCGGGACCCCGTTTCTGTGCAGACTACAGGAAATTAAACGATGTCACAAAGAAAGACTGCTTTCCACTGTCCCGCACTGACATGCTGGCTGGAACCAAATGGTTCTCTACTCTTGATATGAAGAGCGGGTATTGGCAAGTATGTGCACAGCAGGACGACAAGGAGATGGCTGCACTCTCGACCGGTCAAGGGTTATGGCAGTTTACAGTCACGCCCGTTGGCCTCTGAAACGCCCCAGCGACATTCGAGAGGCTAATGGAGATAGTTCTGCGAGGTCTAAAGTACGATTCATGTCTTGCGTACTTAGATGATGTGATCGTAATTGGCGGCACTTCCGAAGAGCATCTGCTCAACTTGCGGAAAGTGTTCCAAGAAGCCCACCTAAAGCTCAGTCCAGAGAAGTGTCAACTCTCACGGAAGGAGTACCTCGGGCATATTGTGTCACCTGAATGGATAACCACAGACCCCGAGAAACTGAAAGAGGTATAGGAATGGCAAACCCCGAAGAATAAGCACAAAATTAGAAGCGTTCTGGGCCTATGAACGTATTACAGACGGTTTATTTCCGGTTTCGCTAATATTGCAAAACCACTCACCAAACTCACTGAGCAGAATGAATCCTTACTATGGACTCCAGAGGCGGGAACAACTTTCCAAACGCTCGTGGAGGGCTGTGTGCTGTCCCTATTCTTGCCTAGCCCCAGACAGGAGAGGTTCATCGTGGACACAGACGCCAGTAACGTCGGAATTGGAGGAGTCCTCTCCCAAGCACAGGACGGAAAGGAGCGAGTTACAGCCTACTACAGTAAGAAGCGGAACAAGGCAGAGAGGAATTACTGCGTCATCCGACAAGAACTACTTGCCATAATGAGAACCACGCTGCGTTAACCTGACTTCCAAGTTTTAAGAATCTTGAAGGACAAACCGCATGCTGGATTGTGTTTAGAGGAATACAACTTTATTTCTGAGCACCGTCAAGCCCGGAAGCACAACAATGCCAATGCTCTTTCATGACGACCCAGTCAACAAAGTTGAGGCGCGGGAAGATGACAAACAAGTAAGAGCTATTGCAGCTGTAACTGCAGCCGGCTAGGATCCAGCAGCTCTAAGAACAGAACAGACCCCGACATAGGCCCATTCTACAGGAAGTAGAAACCGGGCAGAGATCGTAGTGGAAAGACTTGTCCGCATCACGCCAAGTACTGGTAACGGACCAATGAACTGGCAGTTTGACACGTGACACATGTCTTCTGTGTCATCTGCGCCATGCAACAACAGAGGGGCTGTTTTCCTGTGTGGTTTGTGCCGAGAAGATATAAGATAATATGGAAATGGGAATTCATTTCAGTTCCGAAGTTCCAAGGGAACAGCAGTGTGGCCAGAAGAACTGGAAGACTTAGCATGACGTTACATGTGCCGTAATACATCGATATCGGGAGCGTGTAATTTAGTGAGACTTTTATAATTTCTATGTTATAAATCTGTTGCCAGGAAATGGATAGTGATGACCAGTGGAAAGAGACTGAGAAGATTAGTGTGGAGTGTTTGTAAATTGTGTAAATTAGCAATAGTGTAAGAACTAATTGTAGTTACAACCTGAAAGCGGTCAATAAATCCAATTACCAATTCTAACCCCGTCTGTAGTCACTGATACAAGTGATAGTATTCCAAAAAGTTGTAGGTATCCATAAAGTAATCACGATATTTTACATTGCATATGCACAATCCTCATCGATTCTGAGGAAAACACTGGCATAAAGCACAAGCTTCTGGAGTCACCTTGTCATTTAGTAGACACACACACAAAGCACACATGTCTGTATATACGCAAAGTACCCAATTTCTTTCGTTACCCCTAAAGCCACGATGTTTATGTTTCGAGCACATGACATCTAGCTACTTGTGTCACTCTATTTGGCGAAAAATACAAATTCGGCAAATCATGATATAATATGCAGCGTCCCCTTGCTTCTTTCGTAGACCCAAATATCCTCTTCAGTCTTTCGATTCCTTCGAATTCGCTGCCGTCGTGATGCATATCTGAATGAGCTGTACCGCAGTAAAAGTAAAGTTCTCCCTGTAACAGGCCGTGAAGGCATATAGGGTTGTGAGACGTTGAGGGTCACACATTATCTACACCAAGGGTCTCCAAACTACGGCCCGAGGGCCACATCCGGCCCGCGAAAGAATTGTGCAGAAATTCGCCAAATGAACTAATTTTCCAATGAGTATTGGTAAATGTGATTCCGAGCTTAATGACCTGACATATTATACTGCACTTCGATGGCTTAGCTGTGGAAAGGTTCTTTCGCGCTTCTTTCAGCTCAGGAATGAAACTTATATATTTCTTACCGAGAAAAACCATCACGAACCACTTTTATCAGATACCAAGTGGCTTTGGAAAATAGCATTTTTTGCTGATCTGGTGAACCATATGAACCATTTGAATGTAAAGTTGCAGGGTGAAAATAACTTAATCTGTGATTTATTTGCACTTATCAAGGCATTCAGAGCAAAGTTGATACTTCTGGAAAGCGAAGTGAAAAATTTCAACTTTGTTCATATGCTATACTGT